CGACATTAAATTGAAGAAATATCATTGGAATGCCTTCTTTTACGAGTAATGTGAATGAAAATATGAGATTGTATATAAAAAATTCATAACAGTATTGGGCGGAGGCACATTTTAGAAGCTTACGGTTGGGGATTGACAGTATTGAAACTTATCTAGAATTAACAGAACGTATTTCTTTTAGACCTGGATAAAATCTCGTAGTGATCCCATAAAAATTAATACTTTTCTCTCATTTTTTGACACTCTACTCCATATATTTAAGATATACTAGAAACCATGCTTAATAGATGTACTCTATAATGCTTTAACTATAATTTAAGCATGCATATAACAAGCAAACATATGTAAAGAAAGTTATTCTAAGCTGTCTTTCTATGTATAATTGATGCAAATTTGTCAGAAAAGCTTTGTTACTCGACATTTATCAACATTTCACAATCTTCTCCATCGTATAGATTAACTTATTTTTTATATACAAAACGGCAATCAGATGGGAATTTTATGCAATTTCTACATCAGATAACAACAGAAAAACGTGGGATGACAGGAAGAAAACATGAAAACAAAACTTCAGCATAAAAACTTATCAGTAAATCTTTTTTTTTCTAACCACATTTATCAAATTTCTGATATTTTTTAATGTTTAATTCCTCACAGAGCTAAATTATCTATCGTTTAACAACACATGTCTTACTTTTTCACATAGTTTTGAAGATAAAATTTAAAAAAAAAAAATAGATGATATTTTTTTTAGAAATTCCATTAATTTAAAATATAATAAAATCGTCGTATAGCAATTTAAATTAATGGAATTGCTAGAAGAATTACAATTCTCTCAAAACACAACTCATCCGACGAAAAAAAAAAAGAAGATGCAGAGAACTTTAAAATTCTCGTCTCTATTAATTTCTACTTTGCATATTAATAGAAAAATCAAGAAAAAAAATTAATTATTTATTAGAATTTTAAGTGTTTGTGATATTTTTAAAAAGAAAGGGAAGGAAAGAGCTTCGTGCCAAGTCAAAACTTAAACGGTTCGTTGCTATTGTTGCTAATGACATACAGTTGTTATCAGTCATTCTCAGATCTGGCAAACTTAAGTATGGCTTTCACGAAGCATCACTTAACTCCCACGCGTGAAGTATATTCTAGTACGAGATCGTGATGTGGAGTAAAAGAATCCTCTCTTGTCCAATATATCAGTGTCTTTAAACAACAAGACTACGTCAGTAATAAAAGTTCCTGCAAGAAGAGGAAGAGGAAGAAAAAAAAAGGCATGCAGCTCATTGGAAAACATCGTGGGATGGTAAGAAGAATGGACTTTTTATAAAAACAAAGTTGAAAAAGATAAATCTTTGTAATTTATTTTAAAAATTTGTACAGAAAAATCTTTATAGAACATTCTCCGAGAGATTTTATATAAAATGGCATGGAAACGTAAGTGGAGGAAGGATACAAACTAAGATGTTAAAATGTTATATAAACTAGAAGAAAGAGAAAGAGATATATTTTATAAAATGTATATAAAGATATAAGTAAATAGAAGAATGCAGGTAATAAAAAACAGATTGTGGAAAGGATATGCAAGAAAGAACAAGAAAGAATTACAAGTCAAGAGAAGAGTTTTAACGTAAGATAAGAAAAATTCGAAAAGAGATGAAAAAACAACAAAGTCTGATGGAAAAAACAGAGGTATACACACAAAAAATATTGTAGAAAAAATATGTTAAACAAGAAAATAAGGAAAGGAATTCATGAGTAGAAGGGAAAAAAAGGAGAATGTATGTGTCAACAAAAGGAGGGATTGTACATGAAATTTTCATGTGTTGATGACTGCATTTCGAAAAATTCAAGAGAAAGTAAATGGCTTTTGTAATTGATTTTCTGTTATTTTTTAACTCGTAAATTTTAGTTAAATATTTAATATTTGTATTGATTTATTTTAATGGATAGTGACAAAAATAATTTTGTTTTTTCTTTAACCAAATTACAAGAATTGAAAAGAGTTGTATAATTTAACTTTTGTAAAGAAAAAAAAAACGAATATTAAATGATATGATAAATGGAAGTTAAGTCAATTTTATTGATGCTGGTCACGGATCACTAAATAAACCATTGGGTTGATATTATATTTATATAAGAAGGGAAAAAAGTGATGAACTAACTTATCAACAGCAAGTGACAGAATAAGGGCAGTTCGATAGAGATGTTTTTATATAAAATATAATGAAAAACTCGAAATAATTGCTTAAAATATACAAGAATATAATAAGATTTATTACAATTTTTGTTTATATATTATCCACGTAGGACTTAGTATACTTATTATAATTAAAAACTATACTAATATATACAAAAATTAAAATATTTAAGGATATAGAAGCACAAAGAATTAAAATTTATTAATTTTTATATATTTTTCTCATATATAAACGCAAAAAAAAAATTAATATTTACGACTTAATCTTCAATGGTTTAATCGATTTAAAAATTAATTTCTCTGGAGGAAAAAAAAAAAAATATTGTAAACAGAACAGAAGAAATAAAACATATATAATTTAATTCTGTTTAAGTAGTAGAATTTAATTAATTAGTAGATTTAAGCAATTAAACAGCCATTCTTAAATTTACTTTTCAGTAAAGCTTTACCTTTACAGATAAGAAAAAAAGAATACAATTTTAAGTCGTTAGAAAAGTTTAAAAAAAGTGTGTTTGCCTGTTAGCCTCATGCTACGTATTGTGCGAGTCCTTAAAGTAGAGCAAACAGTTGAAGTTGTTATAACAAGATGGAATTTTATTTGTAAAAGTGTCCAACTGTTGCCATTCAAGTCAGTTTCTTTGTCAATGGCAGTTTTGGTCTCCTTAAAACGAGAGTAAGTCGTTACTTGCAGTTCTTTCAACAAGGTTCTACACGGGGCTACACTTTCTCTTAATCAACAAAAGGATGATATCTTAGCTTCTAATAATAGCAAATGCAAAAGTGATGTCTTCAGATAGGCGTATTATGGTCAGGCTGGTTGGCTTCCCTGCATAACAAACAAATCGTGAGGGAAAGAGACTTATAAAGGGGCAACGTGGCTTAATTTTTTTTTCTTCTTGAAGAAAATTGCTTATTATAGAAATAAATAGATGCAATTTTTTACGAGTTTTAATGTATATAATTTTATTTTATGTAATAAACCATAAATAATTCGAAATTACACGATTTATTTGTTTAAAAACGTATTATAAGGTATCTTTATGCTTGTATACAATTATAAATTAATTTTAACAAAAATTTTGTATATAAATCTTTATTTAGGTTGTTAATTAATTTAAATTACGTATAACTTCATTTAAATAATTATAAAATTTCATTAAAATCAACGTAGAGAAAGTATATTCTATTTTAATATTCACACCAATTTTTACTTAAAAAAACAAAAAAGTGAGAAAATTTTATCCAATAAAATGATAAATTTTACAAGAATATTTCTCTTTTTAGCAGATTTTGTAATTAAATAACTGCAGAACTTATATGTGAATAGTTTACTGTAAAAGCAATTTACCTGTAAAAGAGTGTGATCTTGTGATCTTGATTAAAAAAAGCGAAGAAGAATAAATTTAAATGTTGATCAAGTTTTTACATAAAATCTATTAAAAAAAGTCATTAAAAAAAGTAAATCGTGTATCAAAATATCTGTAATAATTCACTGTTTAATTTTCTTTTATTTAAATGAAGGGAAAGTGAAAAATTACTCTCATTTTTTTTTTTTTACTCTCCAGTTTCCAAACACGTTTTAAAAGATGCCAAGTGACATGCCACAAAGAAAAGAGAGAATAAAGAAAGATTCGTTTGGCTTTAATCTGCTTAGTGTACGCAAGCATGGAGTACAAACACCGTAGGATAGAAAAGCAGAGAGAATTTTTGTAAGAAGTGCTACAGATTCCAATCTTCCGATGACAAATATTGACATAGTGTAAGCGGAAAGGAATAGCTTTCTCAACAAATGATTCCTCCTGATGATGAGTAAAGAGAGATATCTGGATTGGATAGCAGAAGATATCCCCAGGAGCATCAACGAGACAAATAAGTTGGCCTTCTTTAGACGTTGATCCATTATTCAGCTAATGTGCACCAATGAAATCAGAGATAACAGCTTTTAAACTTAGTATTGTTCTTAAAACTAAAGTTACATTAAATATTTTCTTGTAAACTTTCTGGTTCGTGTTTCTAATCCGATGTGGCAGTTTTATTTAAGAAAAAGTTGAAATATTTATTAAATAATAATAAAATTTATAAGATTTAATAACTAAAACAGTTCTGTAATAAAAATGAATAATCTTTTATAACGATTTACTTAAATTAGTTAAGAAAAATTTACATTTAACTACCAAGTGCTGTTTAAGTGTTTAGCGTATAAAACATGTTTTATTTAATTTAAAAATATAACCAATGAAAAGAAAAGTTGTTTGAATGAACTAATATTAATCATGATTAATGAATATATTATTAATTATATAATTTGTAATTAATTAAATTAGTTATCGAATTTTGAAACTGGGACATATCGTTACTTTTCTTACGTTTTGCCCAACATGATTAAAGAAAATTAAAATTTTTATCAACATATTTTCGAATAGACATAATTTTATTGTTAATTTACTTTCATTTTATTTAATTTGTCCATAATTTCACGAAATAATTTAGTTTGAAGTTAGCACTCGATGGATACTCGCTTAAAAACTGAACGTATCAATATGGATAGATAAATTAATGGGATAAAGCAACGCAACATCTGTCAAAGGGGAACTTTATATGAGAAGCTAGTCCCTGATAGATGTTAAACACGTGAATAAATTCAGAAAACTGCACGTGGCCAGCATGTTTGGCGAGGCGAGTATACCCGCGACCCGAGTTTAGTGATTTTACCACCGGGCCAACGGTGGGTCGTATCAATGCGTCATTTGAAAATATTATGTCAAAAGAGAAGAAATAAATTTCAAAAATTACTATAACATAGGATATTAAATTTTATTCTCTGATATTTTGACAAATAATAAACACGGGATGATGGACATTCGAGAACAGATCTCAGGATCGACATCGATTTCACAAAAATCGTTTTACAGTTCCGAATTTACCAACATTTGATATTCTCAAACGTGACTCCTTTCTTTTTTTAATAATTTTACTACACGAAAACATTGGATGGATGGAAGATAACACGAACAACATAACATAGTTGAGCAAGTTCCAAATCTAGGACTATGTTGTTATTCCTCGTTTGTCAAAAGATATCTGCAAAACTTCTCAAGCTGTGCGTCTGTCTGTCTTATCGTGTTGTTATTTTGCTTTTTTTCCACAAAATTCTTTATTTTTTTTATGTTTAAACATACAGGTTAAACTTTCAAACACTTGTAACCATGTAGTACGTGGACGACTTAAAAAAACACAAAACTTTCTCACTCATCAATAAATAGGACACGTTCAAAATAAAGAAAAAAAAACACATCAAAGACAGAGAGAACCAGGAGGACCCGGTGACGAACTCGTGTTAGAAGGAATGTACAGTCTTGTAGTTGCTGGTAGCCCATTGCTAGTTTTAAGTGTCACCATCTCTGGGTTATATGCCATACCCAAATAGGCATGCTTCGTCTCCATGGTTATGCGTGCTTTGGACGTGGGTGCAGGACGTGGGCGTTGGACTACCTGTCTGCGTTTTCTGCAGTGGATCAAAAGAGCTACTACTGCAGCCAGGACCACAGCGCTAACGACAATCACAGCTATGATGATGGGAAATGGAAGCGTGGTCACTGTTGTAGGGATGTGATGATCTTGTGGTTCTGTAAATGAAAAATATTTTAAATAAATTAGTATAATCCTCCAGGAATATCGTTTCACATTATCTAATTTCTAACTTTATTAAGTTACTAGAGTTTTTGGATCCATATATAAACAAGAGGATGCATACAAATATTGAATCACATACAAACCAGAGGACGATCTTCATAAGAACGTCGTCGGTAAATTATTTACATTTTTATATTGAAAAATTCATATAAGATCATGAAAATTATAAAAAAATGATATAAAACAATCAAAAATAAATTACATCTTTTTTCAAATTTCAATTTTCAGGAGATTTTTGTTAGCATAATTCTTTCATAAATTTCTGAGCAGATATGCTATGAATCTACTATATATTATACTGTATTGATTGCTGTACATTCAACTATACACGCTGCCTCTACGTATATCAATTTTAAAACAAATAAATTGAGACGAAGATACAAGACGACGATCCAAACAGCATCATCACGATTGCAACTTAAGCCGTGTAATTTAAATTCCTTTTCATATTTTCTTCTTAAATTACATAATAAACAGATACAAACACAAATGAAGCGTTCTCATTGCAAATATCGATCACAAACAGGTACAAGTTAAACAGATTCACTTGATTTTCTAGCAATTCAGCACAAGACCAAGCGTATCGATTGAAATCTGTTGCTGCAGAATTATCATTAATTAAGATCCTAATCCTAACAGAAACTCAACTCCAGAAAAATCTGTAATTCTATTAAAGTTTAGAACCTTCTACAAAGTTTTGTTAAAGAATACAAACCTGTAAAAAACACACTTACTAGAAAGGACGGTGAGAAAGGCACTGCGAAAACTGTATCCAATAGTATTAGCTCCCAAACATATATATTTTCCAGAATCTTGTTCCTTAGCATCTACAATCAGCAGCTTGTTGAGAAATGAACCATCTGGTCTTTCCATTACTTCTGTAGACTTTAACACTCGAAAATATTCATTCTGTACATTTATTATATTCTTATTCTCTTCATTGTTCTCTGGATCTTCTTCATTAATTTTCTTTAACCACTATAAAAATACAATTATTATTATTACGATTATTTTTAGATAATTCGAATTTAATACGTTAAATAAAGAATTTATAGTCGAGGGGGTAGGGGGTGAAGTAAGCTTTGGGAATTTAACTAGATTACTTCAATCCCCTCCTCCTCTCTTGCAAAAGCACCCATGGGCATCTTCAGTTCATATTCAGTGATGTATAGCCGAATATAATAACTGACCATCGGAGATTATAGGAATTATGGCATGGTAATTATCATGGAAGAGGGTTATACAGTAATTTATAGTAAACAACTGAAAGCCTTTATCGATTTGTGAAGAGAATAGATTAAGTAAGTATTATATTGTAGGAAAATTTTCTTAGAATAATCGGATTTAACTAACGTTTAAGTAGCTTAAACAACGTTAGAATGTTCGGAAATTTTTGCTAAATTAATCCATTAAAGTCGAATTTTCGAACGGGTATGGATTATGAATCTTATAATCTTTCAGTTATGATTTTTTTGGTTAATTCTAGACGAAGTTTGAAAGATTTAAAAGAGGAATTTTATGTGAAAAATAAATATGTGTTACAGGAAAATGTTAGAAAATACAGCTTAAGATAAGTACTTTGATTATTAGAAATGTATAATCTCATTAGAGAAGAGTGTAAAGATGTAAAAATTTGAAGTTAAAGGTTATGGAATTAAATAATTAAATTTTCAATATGAGTAGTCACGTCAGAAATATAAATTAAACATCATATTAAAAACTTCAAATAGGAAAAGCACTAAATTATGGGCCAATATTTGTCTAAATATAAGAAAACTTATAAGAATTCGAATCAAATCAGCCATCTTTCAAGCAATATTTTACTTTATTTTTGAAGGAAGAGCAACCTGTTTAGCATAAAATTGCATATATATATATATATATATTATAGTTTAAATTAACTTGAAAGTAACAATTAACAATAAATATTGCTTCAAATGAGAATAAAAAACTAGAGCAGAAGTCTAAATTAAACAGCAATTACATTAATTTCTTTACTGCTTAATCAGAAATTCACTATCTCAATATACAAAAATCCTTTTAAATATAATTTACTTAGCGTAACACCGGAGACAAAATTTAAGAAAATTTACAGAAATTTAAATGTTACGTTGTATTTAACAATTAAATTAACGATTTTAAAGTAAATTTTCTTGTCAAAATTCGAAAAATTATATATATTTTCATCTCAGTAGTAACTATAGCAACACACGTGTTTTTCTTCCCTCCACTCAAGAAGAATGTTTTCTTGTAGATAGATGAAGAGTAAGTAGATAGAGGCAGGGTGCGGCGCTAAGTAAATGATGAAGGTGAAGAAAACACTTTTAATGACCCCAATAAATCAAGAAGGTGGATTCTTACACAGTTTTAATGAATCTCCTTTCTATAATGGGTAATTAATGATGTGAATGAGTAAGTAGACCTTAAGATAAACGTGACAATAAAAGCTAATGACTTACGTGTATGCGTGACGTGATGAGGTAATAAGTTACGATACTTACCTTACGAAGATTTTTTGGCTATAAACAATGGATAAGTGCTTTTAAAGCTTTAAGAAATGATGCGAAATTACAAGATTTAGTAGCATTTTAAGTTGCTATGTAATGAAGAGAAAATTATCGTTAAAGTAAATAGCTAGCTTCTTAAACAATTTAAAGAGAGGAAAAAAAATTAATTTGTAGTCGCCTACGAAATTTTAAATATTGAAAATTTATTTCTTGGGGTGTTTATCTTAATTATTTTATTTTTATTTATTTTTTCAAGAGGGATTTAAAGCTAAAATTAATGCTGAATTTAAGAACTGTTAAGGGTCTTTACTTCTTTAATTCAACAATGTTCAGGGTTTATAAATTCAGTGTTTATAAGATTATCCTTAAACTGAAGACTGACTAGTTTCAAACTCAGCACTATTCAGGAATATCCTTTAAAATATCAATAGTGATTAGGCTGACCAGTTTTCAAATTCTGCACCGTTCAAAATGGCCAGCCCGTCCGAGCGAGGCGCGAACCCACGACCAAACTCCTAGTGTTCAGAGTACGAAGAATGCTTGGCCACTGGTGGGCCTCATGTTTTATAGTAATTAAACTTTTTTAAATATAATTTAAACTGAAAAGAAATCTAAAATTTCTGACATAATTATTTATAATATGTCAGAAATTTTATTTAAGAATTTTTTTAGAACACCAAGATGTTTTAGAAATACTGTGTACCTGAACATGAGGAGGCACATCGCTTTTGACTCGACACTGAAACACAGCTGTTCCTCCATACTCCACAGTTGTGTTAAGAGGATGCGATCCGGTCATTTCTGGTTTACTGTGTACTCTATCTGCAAGTAAAAACCATATAAATTAATTATAATTACTACTAATTTAGTTATAAGAAACATTCTAACAGAGGATAAGTTCTGCATCCCCAAATTGTACAGTACTCAACATAATATAGAAAAAAAAACCATAGAAATTAGCATCTAAAACCCAATAAATTATGTTAGAAAACCTTACTATACGTTAAAACTGGTTTGAACGTGTTCATAAACACATCAAAACTGATTCAAGGATTAAAAAACAAACGTTTAAATAAGCTTGAACGTATTTAATATAGCTAAAAGAAGACTAGAATGAGCCAAAGTGTATTAAAATGCGTTAAAATACGAATATAACACACATTAAACTGCACATAACACTGAAAACTTAATGTTTCAGACTAACAGATTCTCAGAGAATATGAGAATTTTATATTTAAAACTATTAAAAATTCCGAAAAAACATGCAAAGTTTTACTTAAAAATCTCTTATTTAAAAATATATTGACGCTGTTTATGTGTAGAAACGTGACATTAGGACCATCTGCTGTTAAGATACGAAACGAAAAAGTAGACATTCGTTTTTGCCTTTTTGAAGATTGTTACTTGTCACGCAAACTTCTACTCATTTTGATCTCTCTTATCGAATACTAGACACATATCCTTTTATTGAAGGTGTAGCAGCACACGAACTACTCACTATCAACTGCTTGTGCCTGAATGTGTGTTTACACATTTTTTTCCTCCTCCCTTCTTGTTTTTTAACAGCTTAATCTTTAAAGGAGGTAGTTTTTTCCCCCTTCGTAAATTTTCTGTTTTCACTCGTCTAATGCTTGAAAAAATGAGTGTTTCGTCATGTGTTTTTATATATTTTGTATAAACAAAATAAATCAGTTAAATAACTTGTTTTTCTACAATTTTAGCAAAAAAATTTACTATTATCGTTTTTCCTACGACAATATACTAGCTACCAATTCATATTTCGCGAGTTTTTTTAAATAAAAGTATTTAATATCTTATTCAATAGCAAGAATGATGCAGAATAAATTAGATTTAACATGTTAAGACACATTTTAACATGTATTAAAAGTGAATAAAAAGTATTTTTATACAATATAAACCTGCAAAATATACACTAATAAAGTTTTGTGTTAGAAAATATACTCAACAATGTGTAAATTACGTTTAAATTTTTATATTTTTGTATCTAAACACATATTTAATTTAAAATATTTAAATTTTACATTTTTATCCAATCGTCCTTAAGATAGTCATATTTCAACCAATCATTGTTCACATATGCTGAAACTTTTCAAACGTTTATTTCTGATAAATTTCACAGAAAACCACTTATATTTACTTATAGAACATGTTGTAAAAATAAAAATAAAATGGAAATAATTAATTTTTTTGTAAATTTAATTAGTTTTGTGTGAAATTTGTCAGGAAAAACAAGTATAAGAAGTGTTAGCAAATGCTAACGATGATTGGTTGAAATCGTTATCTTAACAATCATTAGCAAGAAAAAGTAAATTTCAAATACTTATAAATTTAATTATGTTAAAATACATTAATTTCTTAAACTTAAATATAATTTACACATCTTAAAATATATTAAAATCATATAAACTGATGACATAATTTGACATATGAAAAGACGTGTCTCAATAGTTTTAAAACAGAAAAATCTATTGAGTAACACTGATAATGTATACAGTGTTAATTAAGTTGTGAGCAATAAATTCTGTTTCAATAAATTGCAATTTTCAGTCACAAAATCGCCAGACTATTCGATTTATGCCCGGCGATTTGGAGACTATTTCATTGCTGAATATCTTCCTCTTGGAGAAAATCATCCACTAATTTATCCTGTGAAGACTGTCGAACATACAGCACTAGAAAAAAAAAAGCGTAACATAACGATCAAGCAGCTCATAACTCATCACTGTATTGTTGAGAAGTTACGGCGCTTTCATCTATTCGAGAATAATGCAAACCACTACCGCCTTACATGATGAGAACTAGCTCCTCTTCGGCTTCCTGTATACAATTTATCTTAAAATCATTGTTCCTGTCGTTGCCAAAAATTCAATAAAGAGCTGGGTTGGTAGTGATCTCGTTATGACGACGTGCAGTTAATGTCAAATAACAGTCATCACAAATAATTGTGTCTCTTGTACCATCTCGTGCTAGTCTCCAGTTACGTTTCCAGTATCTCGAAACCGTTTCCAAAATTTAAGAGCAAAAAACTACTTGAGATTGGCTTGCTTTCAACTTATCAATAGTTCTACTCTTTGAAAGAATTCGTATAGTTCCTATAAGACATAAACCAGAAAGGAAGAAACTAACACAAAATTCATCAGACTTTAAAATAAAGTAAACGAAGTAGATAGAGAGATTAAAGTCTTCCTTTACTATATAAAAGCTAATTTAAATCTGTAAATTTTTTGCCTTTAAATCTATAAATCCTTTAATTTATTTTATTTTAAAAGGTTTCTATTATTCAAACTTAACTTAAAGACACAAGACTAAAGATAAATGTAATTAATGAAGAATAAACTGTGAGTTAAATATTTTTAAAAAAGAAACTATAAAAGTAATTAACTTATAAAGCAGAGACTAAAAGAAAATTCTTATATACACAATAATAATAATAAATTTAATTGTAATTAAATTATCGAATTAAATTAATTGTAATCAATTTCTTATTATACTAACAAATAAATTAATTACAATCAACCTGTAACAGCGGCCACCTCTGAACAGCGGCTATTTTTCAGGAACTTCTTGAAACGAATAGGAAATAACCTCCAAAGTACGGCCATATTTTTGTCCGTTGTTCACAAGTTTTACTGTATTATATACCGTACAAAATAACGGCTACCTACGAACAACGGAGATATTTTTATGTCTTTGTCAGTGGCCGCTGTTTACAGGTTTTACTGTATTACAATAATTAATTTAATGTTTACCAGAGGGAATTCCAGATACATCGAAATCATCCGCATCAGGATACAAGTTATTCTGTTGAGATCCCTGTGAATCCCGATTGATTTCGCTTCCATAATCGTGATCCGCTGCATAAGAGTAAAATTAAATTATAATTATAATTAAAAATTAATTACGATCGTATCCGGCATAAAACACTAAAATATTTATGCAAAATTGTTAAGATCGCAGCAATGATTTGGCACAATAAAATATAGTAAAACCTGTCCAAAACGGGACCTGAATAAAACGGAAACCTGCCTAAAACGGAAAAAATTATTCTTAATTGAGCTATTTTCTGTATTTAAAAAAACCCTGTAACCCGTCTAAAACGGTAGAAATACGCGGTACCGTGCGATTCCGGTTTACACAGGTTTTACTGTATTGTTTTAATGTTGTAAATTAAATATTTTTAGTGTATTTAAGTAGATTTTTACTAGGAAAAAAAAATTAGCTGGTAGAGGGTGGAGGAACGGAGAAAGGTTTATTGTAATTCGATTCTCTATCAGAAATTTCAACAGGGGGGGAAGAAATCATATCGATTACACTATCAGAAGACAGCCAGCGAAAATGTAACACGATGCAACAAAACCCACTAGCTTATCTTCAGCAGTATTTTCTAATTTAATTTCAACAGTTCTCTCTAGATAATTGAATGAAAACAGAAGACCTGTGTATCAAGCCTTAGGGGTATGTCAGCTACAGACAGTTGTGCCATCACCAGATGCGAAATGCAACGTTGTTTCAACCATTGAACATGTTGATACAGCGTACTCATCATTCTCCACGTTATTAAATGTTTAAGTGAAACTCTGATTTCTATCAAACTAAATTATATACTTTGAGTTGTTTCTTTTTTCTATTGAAATTTCTTACTCGATCGTATTAAAATTATTTCATCTTTCTTACTTCAAGGATTAGTTAAGGATTTAAAAATTGTTAGTTTTTCAAGAATTAAATCGAGGGTTTTAATTGCATTTTTTATAGTTTTTAATTAAGATTAGTAGCTGTATTTGCGGGCTCCTGTGTTATGTTGTGTATAAACTGCGATAGTTTTGCTGGATTATGTTGAATTGTATTGTGTTATGCGTTTATATTACGTTTTATTAGATTATATTATATTTTATTAAGGTATATTAGACTACTTTAAACATTTGTAAAATAATTTTTGAAATACTTAACAATTATTTTTCTATAAATCCAGTAGACTCTTGTTAATTTGAACTCTTATAATTCAAATTTCTTCTTAATTTGAACTGGACACTAGTCCCCATCTGATTCCTATTTCGAACTAAAAAAATTTTTTATGTAATATTTTTCCCATGCCTTGAATAGTATACCTATCAGTTTTGGGGACAACCCAGTCATTTGATTCAGCTCTTGTAATGTGCTGTCATTTAAATTCTGCTGTTTAAATGTCTGTATTTATTTCTGTTTTTAAAATTCACTATATATTTGATGGAATTTAAAAAAAAAAAACAATTGTTTCAGTTATGCTACTAACTTTTCATTCATAAACATATTGTCACAGCAAAGTGACAGGATGTAAACACTTTGTTTATAGGCTGTGGATGTTACGCAGGAAAGAAATAGAATAAGCTAAAATAATTAACATTTATAAAGAAAAATCAACAATAATAAATCGGTACTAAGGACNGGGAAAAAAACTAAAAAAAAATTGATTTTTTTTACATTTATTTTTCAAAGTCTTATTTTTATTTTAAACTTTAAAACTTTACGAAATTATTCTAATTTATTTAAATAATTTCACTATAAAAAATAATAATAATAATAAAATAAAAAGTGAATTTTCTTTGAATTTTTTTTATTTATTGTTTTATTTTCTAAATTACATTTTAAATGCTTCTTTTAAAAAGACTTTCACCCTTCTTTTCCATTAAATTGTTTACTTTTATATAAATAAAAGCAAAAGCTAATATTATAAACATTTACTTTAGAAAAATTTAAAAAAAATTAAAAAAAAAATAATAAAAGGAAAATAAATTTTAATTCAATTCGTAATAAAAATAAATAAAATTAAATTACGAGATGGCAAAATTCGTTTAACGTTACACAAGTTCGTTAAGAGACATGTTAATAAAAATAATTAAATAAATTGACTGTAATCCTAACTTGTAACCAAAGAAAAATTTAATTAAAACGTAAATTAAATGTTTGAAATTTGCTTTAAAAATGATTAAAGAAAAGCAAATATTCACAGTGTATTTCGAGTGAAGAATTTACTTTCTTTCACTGGATATTCCTTATGGAATAACACATTGTTTGTTATATTCCTGCTGATTATCTACTGTATGTGTCTTGAATAATTCTAGTTTGTTCTGTGATTATGCCTGATATAAGTGCTGAATGTTTATGTTTTATGCTTTGATTATTCCTGATGAATATTTATAATGCAAATATCAAATATTCTTTAATATTACTTTGTTATACTGGATACTACTGCTTCTAGTACGAATATTATTGACAAATCTGACACGTGATTTGCACGCTTAATACTTTAATTTAAATACTAAATGAAATTTATAGTTTTTGAATAAAAATCAATAAACTTTTAAATATTTTACACACATTTCAAGGCCATAATTAAGCTTAAGGTATAAAATATATTGTAAACAATTCCCATTAAATATATATTACTCGGCAGCGTGAGCAAAACAATTATAAATTACCAAGTAAAAATTTCTATCGATTTGAAGCATCTTATACGTTCAATATTAATGGAATTTAGCCCCAAAATAGCTATCTAACACCGTACGTAATTGGTTAATCTCGTTAAACTTTAGCTACTAACGATCTTTTAAAACTGAAATAATAATAAATAACACAAGATTTACTTGTATGCGCTGCAAACTTTACTCCTTTACAGTAATAAATAACTTTCGAATGTATGATTTGCTGCTGAATTTATTAAATTTATACAATTTTCTAACACACTTGGGTATTTAAGTGTTAATGGAAAGTTGCAAACCCCCGCTACATGTGCCTATCTCTTGGAAACATACCATAGGAGTTACGCAGTATGCGAATTACGTGCTTTAGTATGGGCATAAATAAAATATAACTTTGGAAAATTGGAATATTTCAGATGCATATTCAATTGGAATGAAATCGAATCCGTTGGTGTGGCTCTTAATATAAGAAAATGAGACCTTTTAACACTAGGAGCATGACCTGAAGAATCTGGCAAGCAGCTTCTCCTAGTTAATCTTCTTATCGAATTAGAGATTAAGAGCAGTGATTGTATACAAGATTGCATCCTTGTTGAGCTATTCTGTTAGAAAACGTGCTTGTAATCCTGTTGTAAATGTGAACTGCGGTTTATTACTAAAATTAGGGCTGTACCTGACACAAAAGCGATCTCATATGAAGAGAAATCGAACAGGTAGTGAGATATAGAGACAGAGCTTCTATTTCTGTTGGCAGATTTTAATTAAATTTCGACTCTCAGAGAGAGCAGATCGTTGCACCCAAGAGAATAGCTGTCAACTTAAGCGAACAATAGAAAGCTTCACTGTACAGTATCCACCCAACTATTGTCCAACGTGCAACAAATATTCGAAAGGTGCAACACTAAGATTACACTCAAATGAACAGAAATAATTAAAATTTCTTTTCACTTTATCATATTCGAGGGACTAAATATAGATCCTGTCAAACATTCCCTTCACTTCCCCCCTTTTCATTACTAGAAACGCTTTAATAATGCAAAGAGATAAACTTATTATACATTCTCAATTTTGTGGTTATTAAGTTAATTAATTTATAAATTTTCGATATAGTTTACGACGCTAAATTCGATCAAATTCGTCAGAAAAATTCCCCCAGAAAAGTAAATTAAGTTTAATTAATTGTGGAAAAAAGTTCACGCGCATCATTCGCATCCCTCTTTTTTTATGCTCCTTAATTTCCAGTTTATATTTTTTTTAGAAGCCAAGAAAAGACTTAATTTACTTAAACCCCTTGCAAAATTGTCTATTTGGATGCAAAATATCTCCGTTATTTATTTATTTTTTCCTTTCTACTCACCTACAACATCGAGAACAAAGCTGTTGTTAATAGAACCGTAAGCATTGTAAACGATGCACGTGTAATTTCCACTATCAGATATTTGCAAGTTTTGAAGATAAAGGGTCCATTTTCCTCTTTTACCAGAGGATCCATGCTGCATGTCAGGAATCGGTTTTCCATTTTTAAGCCACGTGATTTGGGGACGTGACGCCGCCGTGGCACCACATTTAAGTCTGATGGAACTCCCTAATGGACGATGTATAATTTGATGTTGAAAAGTTGTCAGTTGAGTAAATCTCGGTTTACCTGAAAAACCACAAGAAAAATAATAAAATAAAATAAAAAAATAAGTTAATGTCGGAGAAATCATCATCATTTACAAATCATTCATTCAGCTTTAACAGTTGTGATAGGGAACTAAATGGTTGCAAAGTATGAAAATGTATAGTTAAATTATTTAAACTAGATCATTATTTAAAAAAGTTTATCTTGATTTTTGTATTTTAATGATTTCTCTTCTCTCTATTTTTTTTAAATATTTATTTAATATTTATTTAAGAAAGAAAGTTTAATAGTTTAAAAATTTTTATTTTTAAACTGAAAATGAGGTAAGATATAAAGGGTGGCCCGAAAGTCAGTTAACCGACGTTAATATTAAATTGCTTATTATAAGTTTTTTTTTAATCTTTAAAAATGGACTACTTTTTTTTGTTTCCAATCTTTCTTAATTAAGGACGATCTTATTTTGCTTACAAACGATCTCGTTTTGCTAGTGAAAGATCACATTTTGCTCGAGGAGAATCGCATCTTGCTCGTGACAGATCACGAACGATCTATTTTGCTCAAGAAAACACGCATTTTTTTTCCAGAAGAATGTATTTTGCTCGAGTAAACACGCATTTTTTTCCAGAAGAATGTATTTTGCTCAAGAAAAATCGCATTTTTCCCAGAAGAATGTATTTTGCTCAAGAAAACACGCATTTTTTTCCAGAAGAATGTATTTTGCTTAAAAAAACACGCATTTTTTCCAGAAGAATGTATTTTGCTCAAGAAAACACGCATTTTTTTTCCAGAAGAATGTATTTTGCTTAAAAAAACACGCATTTTTTCCAGAAGAATGTATTTTGCTCAAGAAAACACGCATTTTTTTTCCAGAAGAATGTATTTTGCTTAAGAAAACACGCATTTTTTCCAGAAGAATGTATTTTTCTCAAGAAAAATAGCATTTTGTTCCAGAAGAATGTATTTTGCTTAAGAAGGATCACATTCGCAAGAACAAAAAGGAATCTCTCTCAACTTTTTGACACGTTTCTAAAAGTTGCCGAGGCTTTTTCGCCAGAAAAAACTTCGGTAAACCGGCTTTTGGTTCACCCCTTATATAAAAAGTATACACACACACTGTAAAAATGAAAACTGTACTCTTTCGTAGATTACTTTAAAAGTAATAAACGAAAATTATCTTTAAATATAAATTATAAGTGCTTTAATTAAACTTTGTAAAGATTCATATTCCTTACGAGATCTTTAAAATTGAATTAAACTAAATCTCAAAGGATTCTAAAGCTAAAATTTCATCATAAATTAGTACAAATCCCAACGTGGCCATTTAAAATATGATTATTCTTAACTAAGGTAAACGTACAGAAACTAGTTTAATATATTTTACTTGAAGTTTTAGCATTTAATTAAAGAATTCTATAATTTTATCAATTAATTACAATTAATTTATTTTATTACAATTTTTAATGGCAATATTTTATCAAGAATTTTTAAAAAATTAACAAAGAAAGTAATAATAACAATAATAATAATAAATTTAATTGTAATTAAATTATCGAATTAAATTAATTGTAATCAATTTCTTATTATACTAACAAATAAATTAATTACAATCAACCTGTAACAGCGGCCACCTCTGAACAGCGGCTATTTTTCAGGAACTTCTTGAAACGAATAGGAAATAACCTCCAAAGTACGGCCATATTTTTGTCCGTTGTTCACAAGTTTTACTGTATTATATACCGTACAAAATAACGGCTACCTACGAACAACGGAGATATTTTTATGTCTTTGTCAGTGGCCGCTGTTTACAGGTTTTACTGTATTACAATAATTAATTTAATGTTTACCAGAGGGAATTCCAGATACATCGAAATCATCCGCATCAGGATACAAGTTATTCTGTTGAGATCCCTGTGAATCCCGATTGATTTCGCTTCCATAATCGTGATCCGCTGCATAAGAGTAAAATTAAATTATAATTATAATTAAAAATTAATTACGATCGTATCCGGCATAAAACACTAAAATATTTATGCAAAATTGTTAAGATCGCAGCAATGATTTGGCACAATAAAATATAGTAAAACCTGTCCAAAACGGGACCTGAATAAAACGGAAACCTGCCTAAAACGGAAAAAATTATTCTTAATTGAGCTATTTTCTGTATTTAAAAAAACCCTGTAACCTGTCTAAAACGGTAGAAATACGCGGTACCGTGCGATTCCGGTTTACACAGGTTTTACTGTATTGTTTTAATGTTGTAAATTAAATATTTTTAGTGTATTTAAGTAGATTTTTACTAGGAAAAAAAAATTAGCTGGTAGAGGGTGGAGGAACGGAGAAAGGTTTATTGTAATTCGATTCTCTATCAGAAATTTCAACAGGGGGGGAAGAAATCATATCGATTACACTATCAGAAGACAGCCAGCGAAAATGTAACACGATGCAACAAAACCCACTAGCTTATCTTCAGCAGTATTTTCTAATTTAATTTCAACAGTTCTCTCTAGATAATTGAATGAAAACAGAAGACCTGTGTATCAAGCCTTAGGGGTATGTCAGCTACAGACAGTTGTGCCATCACCAGATGCGAAATGCAACGTTGTTTCAACCATTGAACATGTTGATACAGCGTACTCATCATTCTCCACGTTATTAAATGTTTAAGTGAAACTCTGATTTCTATCAAACTAAATTATATACTTTGAGTTGTTTCTTTTTTCTATTGAAATTTCTTACTCGATCGTATTAAAATTATTTCATCTTTCTTACTTCAAGGATTAGTTAAGGATTTAAAAATTGTTAGTTTTTCAAGAATTAAATCGAGGGTTTTAATTGCATTTTTTATAGTTTTTAATTAAGATTAGTAGCTGTATTTGCGGGCTCCTGTGTTATGTTGTGTATAAACTGCGATAGTTTTGCTGGATTATGTTGAATTGTATTGTGTTATGCGTTTATATTACGTTTTATTAGATTATATTATATTTTATTAAGGTATATTAGACTACTTTAAACATTTGTATGTTAGGTTAACGTTGAAATTTATAATGTTACACTACTTTTAGGTTAATGAACGTTTTGGCAGTGGCGTAACTAGAAACGTTATAAGAGGTCCGAATTAGAACGTGCACACCAAAATTTACCCTGAACGACTAGATTAGAGCTGTGGATGAAGAGTAAACTAGGTATATACACGTGTATAAGTAAAGTAGCGTAACTAAGGGGACTTCTGCATCTCCCTAGTTACTCTACTGCATTTCAACTTAATATAAACATATCGTAACCTACGTTAAGTTACGGTAGAAGTTAAAGTTTTGCCTATTTTTATAATTTTTATTCGATATTTTTCATTTTATTTGTTAAAATATCATTCAACAGTTTGCTACGTGTTTTATTTTCATCTCGTCCCGTATCAATTTATCAATAAAATCAACCCTTTGATACTTTAATTAAATTAATAAATTTATTTTATTTTCTCATTTCCAAAGAAAATTTAATTTGATAATAATTTAAATATTAATAGTGTTAATAAATTGATTTAGGATATTGTAATTGATTTTAATTTAAATATTATAATTAATTCATTAAAGGTAAATAGTAATTATTTAATTATGTAAGACAACACATTGATTAATTTAAACCCAATAATCTATTTTAAGTTAATTTAAACATTTATTTAAATAAGAGAATTAAAAAAAATTTAATCAAATTTTATGTTAAATTTAACTAAAAAAATGAGTATTTTATCCTCATTAATTTAATTTATATTAAAAAATTATATTGTACACAATTTATATTTATTTATTACATAAATTTTAGCAGAAAAGCTTACATAAGAGTGAAATTTAATGTGAAAATTTCAAGAGAAATTCCTAAAAATCAGTGGATTAACTTTTATAAAAGTAAGATTTAAAGTGAAAATTATAAGAATATCTTCTTAATAATAAATTAATATGGGAATTATAAAAGAAATACCCCCCAAGAAATGAAAAAATATATATAGATTTTCATTGTGGGAAAGAAGATGAAAATTTAAATGGTATAAAATTATAGAAATAAGAAATATGATTAAAGAAAAATAATCGGATTTTTCTTTTTTGAGAATTGTAAAGAATCGGATATTGAATGTGAAATGAGATAATATTCAATATCTTTCCCTATTCTAGATTATAATGGATGTCGGATTATTCTATGTAAGGAGCTTAGTCGGGGAATATACAAGACAGAAAAGGGAATTTTTGATATCATTCTTCAATAGAAATCTATTCAAAATGTTTTTAGATGAAGTAAAATTATATTAGGAAGTATAGAATAAGTTGAATATACTTTAACATACCTAATTTATTTGTGTCTGAAGAAATTATATTTATATATAAGACTGTAATTTTAATAGGGTAAAAATCATACTTGATTACGCTGGAAGAAAAGGTGATTAGAATGGCGTAAGTAAGATTTGATTTGTTGTGGCCCTTCCCCTACACTTAATGGTGATACGTGTACAAATTTCAGGCCCTAAAGTATAGAATTGAGGCCTTAAGATTGGTAGATCCTACTAGAGATTCTAGGGCTCTAGCTGAGAAATAAGAGTGTAGTGTTATGAGCAGATAGGATGGATGAGAAAGTATGAAAAATATAAAATGATTAGTGTAATTAAGTAATAGCCTCACTATAAGGAGATGGGAGATAGTATAGAAGTAATGAGTGTACAAAATACTAGAAAATTTTCATTATATTCGAGATATTCTTTGTCAGTTTACACTATTTTTAGTGTGGCAAAGTATAAACATCTTTCCCCCAATTTTGGCAAAGATAAGCCACCAAATAATATATTTTTTCGGAATTAAAGCAAATACGGGTGTATAAAGAAGGGACATGTGTGATAGGAAGAATGGGGAGAGCTGACACTTCGCGCAAACTGTAGGTATCAGTTGACGAAATCAGCCCCACACCCTCCTAATGATAAATACCTAACTACGACCCTGAGTATACCCCGCATTTAAGTAATGCCACAAACTACACACACCCCAATTTTAACACCAGATACACGTGAAAACTTTATCTTAAACTGCAAAGTAATGTAACAGCTAGCAATTTGGAAATTTTTTTTTCCTTGTTAAATTTAAAGAATTTATTTAATTCTTTCTCCTTTAACAAAATCCTTTAAAGATATATTAGCCTACACCATAAGTCCAGAATTAGAAGTAACATGACCGCAGTTTTCTTCTAATGCTCTCATTTAGTGAGAAGAGCACCTTGGAAACTAAAGCACTCACTCTTACAGGACACACGAAGACAATTTGACTGTCAACCCAACGACAAAATCAAGCATTAAAGAGAAATAAAGAGAGAGAGAGAGAACTGATAGGCTATTTTCTATTATATAATATATTCTGGTTCGTTCTCATCCCCCTTTTTTTTTCCTTAATATAAATGGTATTTTTAAGTGTAATAAAAATTCAGCTGTCTGATACGTCTTCTTAGAAGCAAGAAACAATATATAAGAAGTGAGGTGGTTTGAGTTATTGCTGTGAAAATCCGGATGACACGTGGAATGAAGACAAACCACCTGACATTCTGGGTCATCAGTCCCCCTTGGGAAATTTTTCACTTCAATGTCTAAAAATAAAAGAATAACTTCTTCCCTTCTCGTGGAAGTGTCGCATTAAACTAACACGTGAAATTCCCTTTTTTTCCGAGAAAAAAAATGTGAGATCCAATGTGCCAAACGTTAAAGAATTAGCTCACTATCTCCCACCCCTACCTTACGACATGTTATTAAGTTGTTTATGAAATCTAAGGTTATTCAAATATTTATCGAACCTGTTTACTGTGGTAAAGTAGGCCGCCTGATCGACGCCTTTATTGACCTTGGTCAACCTGTCTTAGAAGATAATTTGGCTTGTTGCCTCTATAAATAATAACTCAGTTCAATTGCATTACCGGGTATCCAGTGACCTTGCAACTTTGATGGACATTTGGAACTTAGGAGGACGTGTTATTAAGTGTATGCAATGGTCGTGAGAGTTGAATTATGGTAAAAGTGCTGTTTAAGGGTTTAATCTGATGTTGCATTAGATAGATAATCGTATAAATTTGCTATATTCTTTTATAAATTAAGCCTTTATTTTATTATAATTAGGTGTGAAGAATGTAATTTAAACTGTAGAAGCGTAAATTTGCATGTTTAAATGGAAGATTTTAAGCAATATTCTTCGTAAAGTACGTACGAAAGTGCAAAAATTATCTATAAAAACTTCTATTTAGGAATGTTAGATAGGCTTCAAAGTTAGATAAATTGAATTAAGAGTTGCAAGACTGTATATCTAAACTATGCGATAAGATAAACGTTGAATGAATAATTACAGGAGAGCATAGATTGCTCTGCAAGGAGGCTACATCATTTAAGACAGGTTGCTCCAGTTATATCGTCAGATAACTTAAGTTAAATCGATTATAAGTTTATATAGTGGATGTTGCAAGAATATAACAAGATTAATTTAATGTGTATAAGTAATATATTGCACATTAATGAGCTTATATGTGCTTCTATAACCATAGATGGATGGCAAGCGAGTTTAAGATGAGTAGAAATTAATCAATAATTTTTTGATATTTGTATAGAAAGAATAAAATTGTAAGTTAACACTTGTTTGATAATAATTTTTGAAATATGATTGTGTTAACATGCAATAATTTATGTAAGTTAAAATCGTTTTTTATTCCCCCCCTTTGGTAAAGGAGTAGTTTGTCTCTTCTTGGTGCAGGAGAGGTTGTTTCCCATTCAGTGTTGGGGCAGCTTGTTCCTCACTTGACGTAATTTCCTCCTTAGAGCAGGGACAGTTTGTTCCCTACTTTATACAGGATCAATTTCCCTCTTGGTGCAGTGGCAGTTGTTTCTTTCTCAGTTTCCCTTAGAGCACGGGCATTTTTTCTGTACTTGATGCAGGAGAAG